CTTAATGATTGATACAAATGGAACTGAGAGTGAAGAAGCTTAAAGACGCAGTACATCTTCCTGGTACATACTGCATGAGTTTAAGACACAGGCCTGGGTACATGAATGTGCTAACACACAAAGACACACACACACTCACACATCAAGCACTGCCCCAAACCTGTGAGTCATCATTAACCTCCATAAATGTTAAGGAGTGTCGTGGTTATTTTGCCCCTTTGTCGATTTAACTGTCGAAAAGTTTGTCCTCTGAAGGCCACCGTACGCTCCCTTCCCATCACACCATGCTGCTGTTTTTATAAGCTTTCTATGAACATCTTCTGGAACTTGGACATTTCAGTGGCTCACAACAGGAAGAACATTGGAAGTCAATCTTCACAGCAGCCTACTGTTTTATTCACTAATAATGAACACTCAAATGCACCTTTTGGCCGAACGTTGGCTAACGAAATAGAAATCTTTAACTTTACGTGGTTGGTGTTGTTCTTAATGCTAGATACCTTTCTTAGAGGGAGTAAAATCATGCCCCTACCATCTAGTGAGTTAGTATTTTCAAAAGTTTTCCTGTAACAAATTTTACGAGCCGCTTTTAGGCACCGGAATATCCAAGTTCGGTGGAATGGCAATGGTCGTGGGACGGGGCTACGGCGGGCGAGAAGTGGCCGCGCGGTAAATAACGAGTGCTTCCCGTCGTTGGGGCTCTTGTCTCGGACACGCTCATGACAAACGACAAAGGGGTGTGCGACTTCCAAATCCCCACAGTGATTAGAACACATGGAAAAGCATTAACGGAAAAAAAAAACAAAACACAACACGCATGCCATTACAGGGCAACACAGTAAGCCTTCGGGGTTTGGAGACCGAAGTAAAGACAATCAGTTACTGTCCATGTGGAAATGACATGCAGTTTAAGTCCTCAGCTATGCCAGGGTCACACTTGTCATTATCATACGGAAACTGTCCTCCGTGCCAGCTCTGCATAGCTACTGTGATCCCAGGACATTCCTCTGGCGTATAGTCAGGTACATCCATGCCAATCTGTCTCTGAGTCTCTGTGTATCTGGTCCAGGCGCTTTCAGCCAACATTCACAGTCCTGTTTAGGGTCTTAAAGTCATCGGTCCGCAGTCCTACATCCAGCACTTGAGACCTTTATCAGACGTACACATTTAAATTGTTTCTTGTCTTATGAATCATTTTTGCTCAACATTTCTTCACCAGGCAGTGTTTGAAGGCAGAGGGGCGGGAACCTAGCGAGCAGCCTTTGGACAGTTTACCATCCCGGTCCTTACACTGCACAGTCCGGCTCTGCCAGCCAGTGTCACAAGTCCTGGAGCAGATCATCCAGGACCCTGTTACCCACTGGGGCCCTGGGGTTGAGGTGGAGGGACCTGGAGCTGTAGGTGGCCCTGGAACCAGGACGGAGGGAGTGGAGGAAGATGTAGTGGTGCTACTGGTGGTGGTGGTGGTTTTTGTTGTGGTCGAGACTGTCGTAGTGCTCTGCACGGAGGTTGACTTCGGGTTGGGGATGAGCGGAGCTGACGGCTGCTGTGGGGCCGTCCGGCGGGGCATGAAGAAGCTATAACGAACATCCAGGGGCTTTTTAGCATCTGTCGCTAGAATCTGGATCACCAAGGCCTCTTGGAGGGCCCCGGGGCCCATGCTGTGAAGCCACTCGTCCCTTTGGCTCCAGCCGCTGTAGTTGAGCACAGAACCGTTGAGTGGGATGATTGTCTCGGAGGTGGAGATCATGAACTTGCCGTTTAGGAGGTAATCGCCGCTGGGCCGTCGGAGGGCCAGGTACGCGGTGTAGCGGGTCTGGTCTTTAGCCTTGTGCTGACGAACCTTGATGTGGGTGGAGCCTGCGGGGATCTTCACCACGTCAGTGTAGCCCTTACTGGTTGTGAAGAGAAAGTAGAAGAGAGGTCAGATCAGGTTGGAGAGATGTTAGCTTGGATTTGTTCAAACTAGATTTTTTACAACAGCTAACTTCAAATCTATGTTTAGTCAGCATGACCATAAGGCCTGTTTTGCTCACCTTTTTTTGGTGAAGTTGCCCACAACGCGTATACATCCAGTGCTGTCGCCTCCACATATACCGCACTTGTCGAACTGGAGCTTGGAGCCGATGATGCCGTCGCAACCCGTCCGTACGCATTTCCCTTTCACGCACACCGAGCTGCTGTACGGACGACACTCTGTCCCGTCTACCACCTGAAGACAAACACAAAATCACCGTCATCCTCCACACTTATTTTCTCATCAAATACACTGCAACCTTTTTTCTTTTTTACTAACTCACCCTCTGAGAGAACACCACATAGTATCCTGTTCCTTTTGCTCTGCAGGTCAACTTGCACACATCTTTAGGGAGGACTCCTGCGTACTTAGGCACCCACTCAACAAAGGTCTTCACCCCTTTAGGATCTGTCTGAGGACCATTGCGCACCTCACATTGCTCCTGCCGGAAACCCTTATCTGGAGAAAGGTTCCAATAAAAGAGGTTTTAAAATGATACATCCTGCATGATAAATTGTGCTATTACAATCATGTGTGCATTCTCAGTCGCACTCACTTGATGCTGGACATGGTGTGACGTTGCAGGACCGATAGATGGCCCTCTTCCCCGTGCAGTAGCGCCCGTTGTTCCGCGGTGGCGGGTTGTTGCACAGACGCTGGGCGAACTGCACGCCGCCTCCGCAAGTTCTAGAGCACGCACCCCAAGGGCCCCAGGAGCTCCAGCTGCCGTGGTTGGACGCCTGGGAGAAGGAGGAGAGGAGGGAAGAGGAGAGGGAAGATGAAAGAGGAGATAAGAGTTAGGGAAAATGACAGGGGAGGAGAGATCAGAGAGTAGAGAAGGATGAAGAGAGTGGGGGAAAAAGAGGAGATGAGAGAGGACAATTAGTGCTTATCAGATATATGTTGGGAGCTGGAGCCCAAGCCACGTGTCACAGGGAAGGCCCTTCGGAGAGAGATTTGTGATAGAGAAAATGTGGCATGCATTGTGGTGTGGAAAAGAGAAGAACGAGGCTATCCTCATGTGGTGAAGCCGCTCATTAAGACAGCATGACTGGATCCGTGGCATAACGGCTCACATGCTTCCCCCGAGGATCGGCCTGAATGAAATTCTTAAGGTAATACACTTATTTTTGTGTTTTTCCAACCAGTGCTATATGAGTCATCAGCGATAAAAATGCGGATAAGTAGCGTTTAACATTTTACGAGACAACGTTGATTTTATAAGCCTGAAGTTCTGCAAAGCGCCTTTTCCATTCCGCTCCACTGCCTGCGTCTTACTCGAACCGCTTCTTTCCACAGTAAAAGCGACTTAATCTGCAATCATACTGCAAGAAATACTTAGAGGTTAAAAGATTCTGAAGTCTAAAATGGAGGGGCTCAACGTCGCCCTGAACAGTAAACTGGTCGTCATACAAGGCGGCGAAAATGAAGCGTGTAAGAACTTGGGCCGTGTCCACGCATAAGGTCGCCTGCCAAGGATCGACTCAGTCCCATCAAATGTCATGTGACAAATAAAGGCAAGGAAAATACTCTCCCTCTTTCCCATTAATTTGGACTTTCGCTCTCTTTTCCTCCCTGACACACGCACACACACACACACACAGACTGTCGACAGCCTGCCAAGAACAGATTTGGTCCTTTAATTCATCATGGCTAAATTCAATTTAGATCTGTTTAAGTGAGGCCAAGAGAACAAATAGCACAGATCAGCAGTGGCATAAATAAAGCAGACCACACAATGAAGTCACATAAAGAATCTGTGACATTTTCTCTCTCTCTCTCTTTCTACTTCACTCTTTTCTTCCCTCACAGCTGCCCTGTCTTTCTCCTTTGTCTGTTGGCACAGCGTGGTGCTTAAAATATCAGTTTTTGAACTATAAAAAGGAATCTATTTTAGATTTGAGCTGACAAACACCTCTCCACGCTCCAATCCTCCCTCACATTCTGATACCACCCACCCGTCTTACCGAGTAGTGTCTCTTGCGGGTCTTGTCCACGCACTTCCCCTGCAGGCAGATGCGTCCCTTCCCGCAGGGCGTCCCCTCCACCGCCGGCAGCTTCTTGGTCAGACACACCATCTGTCCCTGGCGAATCACGGCGCACCACAGCCGAGAACACACGTCCATGCCCGGGCAGACTGTGTACTCGGGGCCGAAGGCCAGGCGACACTGGCGGACGGCGTCGTAGCTCTGCCCCGGGAGCTCCTCTGGGCCCAAAAGGGGCTGGCGGGGCGAGTCTAGGAGACACTCGGCTGTTTGCAGGAAACAAGAAGGAGGGGATTTTAAAAAGGCGCTGCAACCTATTCTAAACTCTGTATTTTGGCCTGTGTGAGCTGTCAGTCAGTAAAAGTGCTGGAGCAGCAGCAGATACTGTCAATCTCAAAAGGATGCTGTTGCTACATGAACTGCGCCGAAAGCGTTAGTGCTTTATGGCTGTCATGAATGAAACTGCTTGATGAACGCAAAGTGTGACTCATCTTGATTTCCTGCCAGGGATCTGTCTTTGGCTGCACTGCAACTAGACTTTTTAAGAAGTTAATAGGATTGTAAATAACTCTCTGCTAACAGAGATGGCAGCTTTGTTTCTTAGTAAGCAGCTCTCCGTGCTGTGGGAGAAACGTCTAATTCACATGGATGCAATTTGGAGATGGAGAAAATACAACTTCTGCTGGCTGGGAAAAGCTCTCACTAGTAAAAAAGAGCTGCAGATTGTTAGCTCAACCACAAGCACCGGCCTTTACTGCTCTGCACTTTCTCCCACGCTCACCGTTGCCGTCGTCAAAGAAGTCGGTGATGGTGGCCGAGGTGCAGCGGCTCCAGGGCTTGGAGGCGTCGATGGAGGTGAGGATGGAGGACATGAGCCGCTTGTCGCTGTTCACCCCGAACCGCTCCTCGCAGAACTTGGAGTCGTCGTGGGACAAACCGAGCAGGTGACCTGTGGCACGGAGAGAAAGGGACGCCGTGTACAGAATGTGAGCTGATGCATGGGAGAAGTGATGAGACGTGTCGCAGGTTCGCACACGCAGCAAGAAGGAGATAAGGGAACACGCCGGGCGCTGGGGTATCAGGTGTATGACATCAGAGAATACTCCTGTGATATTAATCAACAAGGGAGATGTGCTGACAGATAGCATATGCATGCCCCGGCGTGTTTCTATCTTTGTTTGCGTGCTGGTGAGTGTGTATCCATGCCTACCTATCTCATGCGCGACGGTAAACGCTGCGTGAAGGCCGTCGTCCTCGATGACGGCGCAGCTTCTCTCCGGGGAGCAGATGGTGCCGACGTCCGCCATGCCCAGGGTGTCGCAGGAGTGGTGGCCGCAGAGGTCCTGGAACAAGGAGAAAAAGTGTAATGAAGGAAGTTTAAATGACAGTTTCCAACAATAAGTGGAAGGTATATTTCAGTTTGGTGATCATATTGATAGCTGTGGAGCAGTCAGCCTTATTTCCTGATAATCTCTCTCAGAACAGCTTAAATGCAATGTGAAACCTTTCCAAAAACTTATTTTAAGACCTAATGCCAAAACAAACACTGACCGAAACCTTTTACTGAGCATACTGTCAAGAGGCAGAACTTCTTTTCTGTACTTTTTTAGTCAGTGCCATTGGGTGGTGATATATATACAATACTGCAAACAGTAAAAATAATAATATCTGTAAAGATGCTGAAGTAGCGTTAAATTCCAGCCATTGTGACGCGGCTGAATTCACGGCGTCATGTTCTGCCTGATGCTTCGGTTCTCTCGGTCAAAGCCTCTACCCCCTAATGAAGTTGGAAAGGCTTGTGAGAGAGTTTTTTAAACGAACAAAAGGACAAAATCGATGCGGCAGAGCCTCCGCGCTCCAAAAACACTGGACGCCACACCTCCCACAATGCCCTGCTTTAGAGCCTCTCTGGCTCGAAAACACAGAAACGCAGAGATCCAACCTGAGATATTCAAATGAAGTGAGTACATTCCTCCACCAGAGCTACAGAAGAGAAGCTTCCTGTGTCGAAGTTTTGACATGTGAAATTAGTGCCACTGCTTTTAGCACCCGCTTCCTTCCTCTGCCTCCACCGTCTCTCTGTCTGCCTCACGGGGTGCCAGAGTGCATGGTATTGATCTTTGTTTTGATTCCCACACATGTCCATGCAGATGAGGCCCCGGGGAGCGCTGCCTGGCCCCGCTGAGTGCAGAGATCGATCAGTTAATCATACCGTCGCATCAGAGCGCGCACGCCCGCGCATGGGCCTGCGTGCGTGTGCGTACACACTCACAGCGCTGCAAACTCGCTTAAAATGTGCACTCACCGCACATAGACGTATGGAGACAAATAATACATGCATGTGTACACGAGAACATCCAAAAAAGGAGAAAACACACACACACACACACACACACCGTCCCGTGGAGAGGATGAATCGTCATGTTAAGTGGTGCTGACAGGCCTGCTGGGTCGTGTGTGAGAGGCTCTATGGGGAGGGTGTTTACCCGTTCCGGGCTGATCGGTTTGGAACAAACTGCCTTGTGTTCTGTGCTCACACACATGACTGACTGGGTGGGACCGCCTCACACACACTTCTACACTCGCATAACTTATAGCACGTACATGCAGAGGAATACTTGCACGTATGAATGCAAGCGTGTAGACTGTACGTTCCCTAATGGCACACTCACAAGCTACACACACAGATAGAGAGAACAGGAAGAGGGTGCCTGCTTTTGCCAGTTGACTGCTGGATACACGAGAAGCAAAGAAAAGGCGAGTCTGCATGGATGCTGCTGAGCGCCAAACTCTACTGAAGTTTCACTTTTCCATGTGCAGACAAGCTCAAAAGCTAGTTTGTTAGAGACGTTTGTCTTCATATTTTGTCTGTTTCTCTTTTCCCCATTCCCACACTCTTTCACCCCGACGCTCTTTACGCCTCCCTACATTTCATTTATTTATTCACCCCCCGCTCTGGTGTGAGAGCCGTTTCTGTTTCAATCTTATACACATGGATTTCGCTGGTACAACGCGGTGTAACGAAACATGGGTGAAAAAAAAAAAAGAAGGGAATCTCCGGTTACCAATGAAAGAATGACGTGTACCTGAAATGACCCCAAAAACTTGCACCGCTATCTACTGTACCTATTATTTACTTCTTCTCTCTTCCCAACTTTGTTTTCTCCCCAAAGCCTCTCACATAAGCATAGAGAGGGAGGGAAAGATAAATAGGCGGAGGGATCAGATGCTGGGGGGAGAAAGGATGGAGGGCAGCGGAAATTAAAGAGAAGACTTGAGAGAACAGGCAGCTACAGAAATATTGGCAGAAATAACAGGAGAACAGGTGGCAAGCTGGTTGTGAAGGTCAGTAGACGATGAGAGTTGTGTGTGTTACAAGACCACTTGCAATCTAAGCCAGCTTGTGTTAAACAAACAGCCAGCCAGACCCAGACACACACACACACACACACACTAAAATCCCTCTTGTGCAGTGAGTTCAGGATGAGTTTAACTCACTCCCTGTGATGAAAACACACTTCAGGCTGATTCTACTAACTTGCTAATCAAAAGCAACAAAAAGCAGCTCTCCGTCACTGACTGGACACAGGCTATACATTAGTGGTCACCAGTGATTGACAGGTTGTCAAATCATTTTATTTTCATGCTACTTTATACTGACACTCTTATATTTCAGTGGGAAATGTACTTTTTAGCCACGCTAGCTGCAGAGCTCTAGAGATTCCAATGTCGGCTGTTGGACCGCCACTTTGGCCCCCCTCGGATGACTCGTAGTAACTTTGGTGATTCCTTAACTTTCCTGTAAAATGTACTGTAAAACTACTGACATTCTAATCAGCTTCAGCACTACTTTGTTCACTACTAGTTAACAAATGTTAGCATGCTAACCCACCATACTAAGATGGTGAACAGCATGTTAGCAGTGAGTCAAATGTAGGGATGTTGTTACACATCAGACAATGGACTTTGCGGGAAGATATGTGGTTCCAGTGCAGATCCCTGTGGAACACCGTATTTAACTTTAGCAGGATGCAACACAAAACGTTGTGTTTTGCCATTCAGATATGAGCAGAACCCGCTAAGCGCCAGCCCCTTGACGCCCGTAATGTTCTCAAGATGCTCCACGAGGATGCCATGGTCCACAGTGACAAAGGTGGCACTCAGATCTAGTAACAAGACACATGTGAGAGTTTAGAATAACACAAGGCTTATTCCCGATAAAGTGATGATCGAGTAGAAATGAAATCACTTACTAAGAAAGTATGACTAAGTGAACTGAATAAATGGTGTTATTTTTCTTTGCATGGAAACAGGAAGCAGCCTAAGGTCAGTGTTCAAAGGAAACTTCAGACCATGACTGAAAACAGGAGTGCAATTGAAAGTCACTGACGCATCACAGTGTGAAGAGGGTAAGGCTCATGTGCTGCTGTTGTTGTCGGGCAGACTGAACTCTCTGTCCAGTTGTGTATGTAGGCAGCCTCGGGGCCCGGGGTCCAGGGTTTGGGATCTAAGAGCTGTCTGCAGGTTGTCAACATATGCCAGTCGAAGTATAGCATGTGTGAAATATCAGGAACAGTTAAAACAAATAGAGGGACTAGCTGTGACGGGGGCGAGGGCTGGGAAATGTACACTTTAACGTACAGACACACACATATAAATACATGGAGGAGAGGAGAGGGTGAGGAGGAAGACAAGTGCACAGGAAAAGGAGGAGCCCAAACTATACACATGTGCACATTCCCACTTTCACTGTAAATGGCTCAGTGACATAACTATGGATTTAACACACGTGTGTAGGAAATGGACTGTGTATAGATACATGCTGTGTCTACATCAGTGTGTATCTTACATCAATCATCTTTACATAAGGGACTTCTCGACGTTCCTGAAAGCTATTTACACACTTTCAACTGCATTTCATCAGCAAATTAGACTTGTCAAAATGTCTGGTATTTGGACCAATTATGAGGCTTAAAGGTAGTATAATGACCTGAAAATAAGAGTGGTCATGTATTGTGGCTTTAGACTGAGACGTTTTTATGCTGTGGGTCGCTATGTTGAACTGCCATGTTTCTACAGTAGCCCAGAACGGACAAACCAAAGCCTGGCTCTAGATAGTTTGCTTTTTTTTTTTTTGCGAGTTTCAGAGCCAGAGAGTAAAAATAACAAAACGCAGGTTCATAAAGTGCTTTATTTAGCATGTGTTATTACAAATCCGACAGTGGCCTGACCTCAACCCAGGTTGAAAAGGTGAGCATTTCAATATCCCTGGCATCACAAGTACCTGCTAGCAATGTCTATCCAAATATCTGAGCTATTGCTGCAAAAAAAAAAAAAAATACAAAAAATGCATGAACACACATGTATGTCAACATCTCCACGGCTCTGCAGCTCCCTCCGGGCCACCTTACAGTAGGGCTTTGTCTACTGTCCAATCTCACACACAACAAGTGAACACAGCCATGCATAACACTTAACGTTCCCATATACACGAATACACCCTCAGAATAGCCCCGAGTCCCCTCAATGTGCCCGTTGTTTAGTTCTGGTGCTGGTATGTGTGGAACAGGGTGACACCGCCACACGGGTCAGCTCACTGCGGGGACGGGGTGTTGGAGTAATTGGACCTGACCACAAAGGGACAAGTTCCCTCAAACCCTGTGCACTCCTGCTGCTGCCCCCCTACCCCCCACCCCCTCCTCCCATCAGGGAACAATGGATTGGTCTGACTTCACAGTCACAAAGTCTTCAGTGAGCTTCAGTTTAGCGGGCTATAATACTCAGGCTCTCCACACACACACACACACACACACACACACAGAGAAAAAGTTTTATCTTTTCACACGTAAGCTTCTATTTGGTTACTTGACACCTCTGACAGTCAGTACAATGGAGCACAAAGCAGACTATTTCCTAGAACACATCTGAAGGAAATCAACAGCACATTAATGTTTGTCTTTTCCTGCGAACTTTCCACTGGGGTTACAACCAAAGTGATTTTTCCCGAGAAAGTCCAGAGAAAATAGCTAACACATTGCCTGCCGTGCCTCGTGTGTCCAACTTCTTTTCTGATTCTTCAACGCACAATGCAGCAAGGTACACCTGAGCCAAATCTGCTTATTTCCTGCCTGGCATTCTGTCGGTGGAAACTCTAATGGCCATATCCTGTTTGTAAAATGACGGATTCTGTGCAGCTCTCCGCGCCGTATGGGGATCTCGTCTTGACAGCCACCCTGGCCAAATGATTAATGGCGAAATCAAAGTGTGGCTCTCGTAAAGAGGAGGTCAAAATGAGCTTTGCTTTTTTTCCTCAAGATGTCAGCGTCTTTGTCACACCTTAGCTGCAGGAAAAGCGGACGCACGTAAATTCCTCAAGCCTCGCACAGGAACGTCTCAGAGTTGTTTTCCTGCAGTGTTTGGATGTAAACAGACCTCAGGCCAGCTCGTCTGTCCCTGATAGTGATCGACAAGGTGAAATAACAGCAATTTAAGCACTTAGCCAAAACACAGGCTCCTGAAAATGACTTTAAATAGCCAAAGAGATCAAAGGTCAAAGTTAAAGTAAGGCGGTGGCTGCTTTCTTTGGCTTATTAAAGGTCACGACCCCGAAGTCAAGTCATGCATTCGCGATGTGCTTATTCTGCGTGCTGAACGGGGTCGCCTGCGTCTGCCAGGAGACAGGTTTGTGAATAATGCAAGTGCTGCGACAGGTGAGACGGAAATGAAGTGCTCACTATAAATGCCAATATGAGGCTGAGATTGTCTGTCTGCAAAACTTATTGTCTGAAACGTGGACTTCTGGGAGAAGAAAAGGCATTTGAAATCAGTGGAAACACACCAGGAGTGGATGGGTTTTGCCAGGATGAGCATGGGTATTTTAATAGGATCAAAGGGCGAGCAGAATGGAGAAGAATCCAGTGTATACCACCTGTCATGTTCCATTAGTTTACTGACTGTCTGCCTTCCTGTCCCGAGGCTGCTTACAGGCATCTGGATAAGTGTTTCTATGCCCGCCTGACCCGGCCCGCCCTGCCAAAACCCAACCAGCGGAGGACGGCCCCGTCTTCTGCCTGGCCTCTTCCAGTCATACCCTACAGGTGTAGCGGCAACGGGGTCAGTAGGGTGCCTGGCACACGGGAACTGTGCCACTTTGCCAGCTCGCTGACCTCAGGTATGCGCTACCGGCCGCCCTGCCAATGCATGACGGCGCCAACTCGCAGCTGTTGCCAGGAGATCCGAGGTAATACCCCCCCCAGCCCCCCCACCCACCCCCGATATGCTCGC